CTCGCAACCCCACTCCCCCACCTTTACAGCTAACTTTAACAAACTCAAACCCTACCGCGGTCGATTACCCCTTTGCACATCAGACTTCCTACCCATCCTTCCAGACGACCAAGTTCCCCCCGTAGCCATCGAGGTCACAGTTCCCTCAGCCATCGAGACCACTATCCCTTCCCCCCGCGACCATAGCAGCACTGAGGACAGTGCTGCATCCTAAGAGGGGGGCTATGTAACAGCCAAAATAGAGCGTAGGGGTCTACACTTGTTTTACTAATCAGGTGAACACTAATCTTGTAGAAATCCCTGGGCCAAGCTCACCGCATGGACGCGATCAAGGCCGCTGATCTGTGTGCCCGATAAGTCCCATCCGTGTTTGTTACACGTTTGTTCTTTTGTTTGATATTGTTACTCTTTTTGTTTTGCATCATTTGACTTTTTCCGGGTTAACCCTTTTTCCTGATGTATGTACTTACCTCCTTGATGTCACCTACCTCGTTGGTTCTTGCGTTCGATTCGTTATCCACTTTCTACTGACGTTACCACGTTTATATACTCTGTTACAATAAACCTTATCTTCGGCACCTACCTACACTTTTCCATCTACTAACGCCCAACTCTGATGTGCTTGAGTTGCCTGTGAAGAATGTTGGACATTCCATACTCAGATCCTCAAGTTAATCCTCAGGTCGTGAAGAAGAGGAGGCTATCCCAATCCAACATCACTTCATCCCCTACTGGTCCATCTGTAACGGACATTACAATGGTGGCAGACGGTGAGCGAACCAGCTCTCCGTCCCATTCTGTTCCTCCCCCCCGCCAAGACTCTACCTATCAAGCAAATACCCCCAACCCCTATGGCCCCAGCCCCTTACTGGCACCTGAGATGTATGAAACAGACCAAAACATCCGTGAATGGCTGCGCGATCTCTCGATCCTGCTCCTAAGTGTCCCCCCACACGAACATACTTGCTACCTCTTACGGTTTCTATCCCCCCCAGCACGCCGACGTGCTTTCGACGCTGGGATTAAACCCACTACGGACTTCGAACGAGCCACAGAGATACTCGTTCAACTTTTTGACCATCCGGACGCCCCAGGCGTTGCCAACCAACGTTTTGCCACCTTACGTCAACACCCCACACAGTCCGTCGACGATTTCGCAGGGGAGCTGATGCGCCTGGCAACTATAGCTTATCCCAACTTGCCGGAATCAGACCGAGACTCTCTTATTCTCCACCGATTCATTACCGGTCTGCACGACCACAGGGCGACCGACATTCTTCTCTTACACCCTCCCAATAACTTATCTTCGGCCATTCGACAATGCCGGCTATACGAAATCCACCATTCCGGCAGTAAGGATACCCCTTTTCATTACCGTCAACCCCCGCGGCCAATACCTCCGCCTCCCAGCAAACCGTCCACTTTACCGGTGCGCTTTCCTGACTTCAACCCAGGGTGTGCATACTGTACAGCCTTCGGCCCGCAAGCCAAACGTTGTGGTCACAACACGCCCAGTAAGTGCACGTTCGTTGCCCCTGCTTATTTAGATACTGTTTCCCATTCACCCCCTTTTACCGTACCGGTTAGCTTTGAAGGCCAATCTGTGCAGGCATTAGTCGACACGGGGGCCAACGTATCGCTCGTGAATCCCGCTGTACTATCTCGCAAAACCTATGACCAAATCGAACCTATAAGCTATCCTCGTAACCTTCGAGCGGCGAACGGTACCACAATCCCCGTCACAGGTCGGATAACTCTCCAATTCGTACTCGAAGGGACAGTCGTTGTATACCAATTCCTCGTAACGCCCAATAACCCTTGGAACCTTGTCCTAGGACTAGATTTTTTAGCGAATCATGATTGCATTATCCATACCAAAGACCGCCGTCTATTAGTAAATTCTAATCCTACTGTCACACCCCCACTACAATCGCTCGACTTCGACTACATCTACAACGCCGTATTATCAGCTACCGCCTTAGACCCTATCAGTATAGACGACATCTTGCCCCCTCCGACATCCTTAGCACCCGACGCACGTAACCAACTCCGTGAACTCTTACTCTCTTTTCCCGATGTATTCACGTGGACAACCGATTCCATCGGCCGCACATCGAAGGTACAGCATACCATAAACACTGGTGATGCCAAACCCGTTTGGCAACCTCCACGACGCATACCAACCCGATACCGGGATGAGGTTGATAAAATTCTAGACGAGCTTTTAAAGGCGCGGATAATTCAGCCCTCTTCCTCACCGTGGGCTTCTCCCATAGCTCTGGTGCCTAAGAAAGACGGGTCCTTGCGGCTGTGCATTGATTACCGCCGCCTGAACGCAGTCACCGTCCGTGACTCGTTTCCCTTACCCCGTCTGGATGATACCCTCGACACCCTAGGGAGTGCAGCATGGTTCTCCACCCTAGACCTCAAATCTGGATATTGGCAGGTCGAAATTCACCCGAAAGACCGCCATAAAACAGCTTTTACCGTACCACAAGGTCTATATGAATTCCAGACACTCCCCTTCGGACTTTGCAATGCCGCCGCCACCTTTCAGCGGCTGATGTACCAGGTGTTGCGGCACCTCACTCCCACCAAATGCCTTGTCTACCTAGACGATATTATCGTATTCGGGCAGACCATCGAACAACACAACCGCAATTTACGTGAGGTTCTAGAAGCGCTCCGCGATGCCGGTTTAACGCTAAACCCCCATAAGTGCGTCTTCTTACGTTCGGAGGTACAATTTCTGGGGCACAAGATATCACCCGGCCACATAGCTGCCCTCCCTGATCGGCTGCAACAAATCCGAACATGGCCAACCCCGATAAACCAGTCTCAACTCCGTAGCTTTCTTGGACTGGCGTCTTATTACAGACGGTTTATCCGGAACTTTGCCCATATAGCCGGTCCGCTACATAAACTTACAGAAAAAGGCCGGGAATTCAAATGGTCTCCCGATTGTGAGGAGGCTTTTATTAACCTTAGAGCCGCTCTCTGCTCAGCCCCACTTTTAACTCTCCCTAATCTAAACCCTGATGCACCCCCTTTTATCCTTGACACTGACGCCAGCGGGTTCGCCATGGGGGCAGTCCTGTCGCAAGCGGACGATAAAGGTATCGAACACCCCATATGTTTCGCGAGCAATACTTTGACGAAACCCCAACGGAACTACTGTACCTTCCGTAGGGAACTTTTAGCCATAATAACATTCATCCGCCAGTTTAAACACCTACTCATTGGTCGCCACTTTATCCTTCGCACTGACCATCGAGCGCTCCAATGGCTGCAATCTATCAAAGACCCCATGGATCAGCTCGCACGGTGGCAGGAATTTTTACAAGATTTCGACTTTGAGTGTCAATATCGTCCCGGTCACAAACACGGGAATGCTGACGCTTTCTCACGTTTTCCCGACACGCAACCACCAGATCTCGACCCCAACACCGCGTCAGTCAATGCGATCACGATGTCCGAATCCACTCGTCACGTCTGGTCGTCGGCTCAGCAGACTGACCCTGACACGGCTATCATTTATAACCACCTATCCCAACGCATCAATAAACCTACTGAGGCGGACATGAGAGGCGCTAGTCAAAATGCACGCCTCCTTTGGCACCAGTGGCCTCACCTCCTAATCGACAACGATATCCTCTTTTCCCGCGACCCCTCATCAAAACAACTGCGCCCAGTAGTGCCAGGATGTTTGATCGACAGTGTACTGTCTGACCTCCACACAGAATTGGGGCATTGCGGCCAACGACGCACCGAACTGGCAGCCCGTGCACGATTTTGGTGGCCCCAGCTCCGTTCCTCTGTCCTCCATTTTTGTCAATCCTGCACCACTTGCAACCTGTTCAAGTCTCCAAACCCCTTTCCACGTGCTCCCATGCAACCCATGATCACGGGTTTCCCCGGCGAGCGCGTCGGTTTAGACATTATCGGCCCTCTACCGATATCAGTCCGCGGATATGAATATATCCTTGTTATGGTAGATTACTTTACAAAATGGGTCGAAGCCGTACCTTTACTCCGCCAAGATGCCACATCTGTCGCAAACGCTATTAACCGCACGTGGGTTTGTCGTTGGGGAGCACCCATATCATTCCACTCCGACTGCGGTAGCAATTTTGACTCCCAGCTCTTCCGTGAAGTGTGCAGCATACTGGACATACATAAAACACGCACGACACCATACCACCCCGAAGGTAATGGCCTTGTCGAGCGCACCAACCGCACCATTCACAATCTCCTTCTTGCGTTTACGAAAGAGAGCCACGAACATGACTGGGACGTACAACTCCCATTCTGCCTCTTAGCCTATAGGAGTTCAGTCCACTCGTCCACTGGCTTCACACCCCATTACCTCTGGACAGGTCGCGAGATACGCCTCCCCGCAGATCTTCAATACCCCCTACATACTCCCGACCCCACGACCATATCGACCTACGCCTCCCGTCTTCGCGAAACGATACGTACCGCATACAACTCAGCACGCGAAACAATCGGTACGTCATCCTCACATCAAAAAACACAACACGACCGCCATTCGACTGGCACTACACATCAAGTGGGCGATTTAGTCATGCACCACAACCCCGTACCACCACGCGGAATTTCAGCCAAACTCCACTATCCCTGGCAAGGTCCGTTCGTTATCATCGATGTTTTGTCACCCTCGAACTACCTCCTCCGCGATGCCTCGCAACCCCACTCCCCCACCTTTACAGCTAACTTTAACAAACTCAAACCCTACCGCGGTCGATTACCCCTTTGCACATCAGACTCCCTACCCATCCTCCCAGACGACCAAGTTCCCCCCGTAGCCATAGAGGTCACAGTTCCCTCAGCCATCGAGACCACTATCCCTTCCCCCCGCGACCATAGCAGCACTGAGGACAGTGCTGCATTCTAAGAGGGGGGCTATGTAACAGCCAAAATAGAGCGTAGGGGTCTAAACTTGTTTTACTAATCAGGTGAACACTAATCTTGTAGAAATCCCCGGGCCAAGCTCACCGCATGGACGCGATCAAGGCCGCTGATCTGTGTGCCC